ATACTCTTCTTTTTTTTCTTTAAAGTACAGTCAAACTTGTTAGCAAAGACACTTCTCAATCTTATAAAATAGAGGCCTACGAAACAAGTTGGTTTTAGAAGTGTCTTCATTACAGGGTTGACTGTATTACATCACATCATGAAACCAAGTAACATATAAAATAAAGTAATGACATTCAATAATTGTGTGTATATATAGATCAAAAGGAAGTACTAAATTTAAATCTTTTTTTAAAAATCCAAAAATTTTAAAACAACAAAATCCCCTTTGTCATCACACAGATTATATAAAGAAAGTTAATAATTTAAATCTGTATTTTTCCATCCAGACAAAAAACATACTTAAATGGAAAAAAAAATTGGTCAAATTTTCAGACAACATGAGTTGAAAAAAAACCTTTATCTTGTATACACACAAAATTCAGTATGTTTTAAGTCTCGCATTTAAAATACAAATATATTTTTTCCAGCGGTCTGAAAGTATCTTAGCAAGCATAGGACAATAATTTTTTTAAACTTACCACATTACTTCAATACTATCAAAATCCATCCTAGGAAAACTATTTTGTTTATAGGCTAATCATTACATTTTTTAAAGGTAGTTCTCTGAACTTTAATTATTCTGGAACAAACAGAGTCAGCAAATGATCTGAAATTTTGCACACAAGTTATTGGTCTAGACCTCGATCAGATTGAATATTAATCTTGAAAAATCTATCCAGTCCTGTTATGTCAAAAATGGTCAGTGGAGTCCCTTTAAAGTAAATTTATATCTCAAGATTACAAATGTAAGATTGCTTTTTATCATTGAATTTATAAAGCCAAAACAGATGAAACTAGAGATATGTCCATAGGGCAAGGATGCCCCCACATTCTGTGGTTTACTGATGGACAGTGTAATAGCACGACAAATGGACATTCAAACGTTGTCTAATTGGGGGCATAAAAACCAGTATAAATTGGATATATGTAATACAAAGAAAAACACATAATGGTTATATTTTACTGAAAACACGCTATATTATGTGAAAAAAGCACGAAAAATGACTGCATCCTCCAACTGTGGATCTGTTGTAACTTTGTAACTATGGTCACCTGTTGATCTTTTCATTCATCAAAAGAAATTAGCTCAGTCCCTTAAAATGGTCATTCATAAAGGACAAAAAATGCTGAACTCTGATATATACTTGATATATAAACAGTTATGTAGCAAATTAAAAAGAAACAAAAAACATATTGACACAATTTATAACAAAAAAGAGTGGATAATTTAAATCGCTTGCAAAGTCCTCCATTAATAAAAGACCTTTAAAATAAAAGTTAAATTTGTGACAAAATAAATCTTACACACTTTTATTGTTAGATAAAAGACTCACAATTTGAACTAGAAAATCATACTTTTTACCATTTTGTTTTTTACTGTAGTAAAAAGCTATTAAGTAAACATATATTTCAAGTAGGGAAATGGTAAGAACTCAGCAAGTACATGTATGAATTAAGAGAACTGTACCATGTACCCCACTATTCATATAATTATGAGTGTCCAATTTATAAAGTACATTTGCAGTTTCCCTCACTTGCTCTTTCCCCCCTCATTCTGCTTAAATGCATTTTTGATTCTGATGCAAGGCTTAAATGTATTTTTGATTCAGAGGCACTGCTTAAATGTATTTGGGATTCAGATGCACGGCTAAAATATATTTTTGATTCAGATGCACAGCTTAAATGTATTTTGGATTCAGATGCACAGTTTAAAGGTATTTTGGATTCAGGTGCACATCTTAAATGTATTTTGGATTCAGATACACTGCTTAAATGTAATTTGGATTCAGATGCACAGTTTAAATGTATTTTGGATTCAGATGCACAGCTTAAATATATTTTTGATACAAATGCACAGCTTAAATGTATTTTGGATTCAGATGTACAGCTTAAATGTATTTTGGATTCAGATGCACAGCTTAAAATAATTAATGTATTTTGGATTCAGATGTACAGCTTAAATTTATTTTGGATTCAGATGTACAGCTTATATGTATTTTGAATTCAGATACACAGCTTAGATGTATTTTGGATTGAGATGCACAGCTTAAATGTATTCTGGATTCAAATGCACAGCTTAAATGTATTTTGGATTCAGATGCACAGCTTAAATATATTTTTGATACAAATGCACAGCTTAAATGTATTTTGGATTCAGATGTACAGCTTAAATGTATTTTGGATTCAGATGCACAGCCTAAATGTATTTTGGATATAGATGGGCTCATTACAAAATTTAAATGTAATGTAATTTCCTGGAAATGCATTTACATCATTCGTGCTTTTCTGTGGATAAGAAATAGCAAACACCATTGTTGTTTTAAAGAAAAGTACTATTTACACCATATTGTTATTATGTGACTTACAAATTAATCTCAACAATATACTGGTTTTAAAACAGCACCCTGTAAATACTAAAGAGAAGAAGGCCTTGGTTAAATTAGTTTTCTTTTTCTATATAACAGTTTGTTTTTTTTGTTAAGTTACTTAAATGGCCTCATACAATGTGTCTAATTTGAATAGTTTTGGCAAAAAAGCCTCCACTCTTTTGCTAATTTTGCACTGGCCTCATAGTATGTGTGTATAAACTGAATAGTTTGACAAAATCTTCTCCGTTCACAGATTTTTTGCACTAAGTGAGCTTCAAGGTTGTTTTGTTGTTCTTTTTTTTTGGGGGGGCAGGGGAAGGGGGAAGGCTGCTTTATATGGGTAGAAAATATTTAACAAATTTACATGCTTCTCAAAGGTGGTATAACTATATCATTGTATTTTTTACATCATGCTGTCACAAATGCACAAACAATCATATATGCCTAGATTGGAGTATACTTTCTTGCAATGAAGTACGGTAATTGTTTCCATGTCTATGAATTCAATGACAACGACCCTGAGGTTGTAACTAACTGACTTGTATTTAATGACTATTCTATTAATTGTAATTACATAAAAAATCATGTTTTAACTTTGCATTAACACTGAACTTCGTTAATAGAACTACTATTTTTTATCAAAATTTAGATTCATTTGAGTCACATGTTTTTTTTTTTCTTGCTTGGATCTTTTAAGTCACACCCACTCTTTCAAGTTTGAGTCATAAAAATTTGGGAAAGAACCAATACTATAATTATTTCCTTTTTAGTTAATACTAATTTATTTTAGTTTGATTGTGTTAGAAGCTAATAGCTTATTGAAACACTCTCGAATTCATTCCTGGAACCAACCAGTACTAAGCAATAAGTGTAAAATTTCTTGCTCAAAGAAACAACAGCTTGCCTAAGACGGGGTTTCAACCCACTCAGCCGGCAACCCTTAGATTACTATTTGAATGTGCTAACCACTTGGCCATGCTACCACTTCCTTATTAATAAATAGCTTCACACAAAACACTGTTCAGAAAAGCTATCACTGGAAAAAAAAAATATTTTGCATGTTGTTTTAAACTAAGAATTATTAAATTGATAAACCCCAAAAAAATACCAAAAACCCTCAAACTAGTCAAAGTGTGTATAAAGAGTTTGCTCCCTTGACACTGATTTATTAAATGTCTCTTTTCTTTTCTAACTGATTCTAATAAAAAAAAAAAAAAAAAAAAAAAAAAAAAAAAAAAAAAATTGACAAACTACTACAGTTTGAGGTGGTGATTTTTTTGTGATCAGAAAGCAGTTATGTACATCTTTTCATTCCAAACAATGTGCCCGTGATTTAACGAAAGCCGTGGTGTAATTACACAAGTGAATGGTGAGGGTTCAAACTTGTTTTTCACTTCTAATGGGCTGCAGTTTTTATTCTACAATGACATTTGATTAACTAACATAGTTCTCGACTAATGACCAAAAGCATTGTTCGTTTACTAAACAACAAACGCGCACAAAATAAAAAATCACAGACATATTTCACTTTTTTTATAAACTTGCTTTTTACCAAATCTAAAGCTATGATGATTTATATATCTAATACATATATACCAACTCCAGTCGTTAGCGACAATTACGTCAAATATGCGGAAAGAATGCACGTTAAATATCACAAAAATGATATATTGATGGCATTATGAACGCAATGTGATGTAACATAGACGCAGTTTTGCAGACATTCACAAATCAATTGGAATTTTAATTGCCGATTTTTTAAAAAAAATAAATATCAATACAACTACAGCTTAAAGTGTTACATCTAAAAGCATTCCAAAAAGTTTATCGAAATTATTACATGTATTTAAAAATTGCTAATTAACTACATTAATGCCTCTATCTATATTTTTCATTTAAAAATATCATTTAAACATCTCTACCTATATGTACTTAATCGACAAATATATGATCTAAAAGAACATGTAATTAATTAAAAATGCTAAGAATTATTTCAAGATAGATGGGTTATTCTCAATTTAACTGAAATTTTTTTTCTGAAACATAGAAAAATAACAAGCTGAGTATATCAATTATAGACACAAATTTCAAAATATTGACATTTTACTCTCTGAGCATGTGCCGTGTAAATTATTTGTTAATACTATCAGTACAAGTCCAGAGCCAGTCAATTACGAGGCTTTTCCGGCAGTTTGACTGGACTCTATATAATTGGTTGCCTAACTTCTGCATTTCGATATTGTAATCCCTTAACCTTTAACCTGCTGGGACTGAAAGTGTTTAACCTATGGCACCAGTATAGAGCCACGCCAGCCTGCACATCCATGCAGTCTGACCTGGCTCTATAATAAGGGAAGCTCAATTTATAGTACTTTGATATTGAAATCCCTAAAACTTTGAATGGACTGTTCCAAATTATATAGCTGGGCAAGTCCATTAAAGAAATTCTGCAGGTTAAGGGGTTAAATTATCAATTGACAGTTCTAAATTCAAAGCAAGACGTATCCATTACACTTTAGTTTTAGAAGGATTAAAGTATACATGTAAATTTCCAGAGTAAACAGATAATTCATAGAGGTGTTATACTTACTCTAAGACAAAAGAAACGAGAGACACCCCGACGACTATCAGATCAAGTATGTTGAAGAAACTACGACAAAATGATCCTTTATGAAGCACCAATCCATATGTTATAAGCTGTAATGTAACATCATTAAATATATTTCATAAATTTTGAACAACGGATACTTTATGTCTATACAAATAAGAAACGACAACTCTAATTTGCCTTTATATCGAATTTTGCAATTTTGTAACTAAAAGATGCAAATACATTAGAAAAGATCCCATTGTGGATGGGAATCAAACTCATGACCTGCCACATACAAACAAAATTAACAACAATTTAGACCACTAAGGCAACGAATTGATTTCCTGAAGCAATGGTCAGAGGCTGTACTGATAGTTGTGAAGGTAGGTGTGCACTCAACTCAATTTAATATAGAATTATACATGTATTTCTGTTGAAGCCAGTTAAAACCAGACAAATAATTTTACCTTTTTTTTTTTAAACATTATATAATTCAATTTTGACCGAACTGACAGGCAAATGAAAGTATATAAGACAGTTTTGACTTTCCTTAATATAAGGTCATAAATTGTGCTTGCTCTATTACTAATTATTTAACATTTCTTAAGAAGCATGTAACAGCTTAACACTAATATGTGTAAGAAAATAAGCCAGCAAATTGTTACACAAAAGAAGAAAACAAAACAAAACTTACTTTGACAATGATTTCAACTGTGAACACACTGGTGAATATATAATCAAAGTAGTTCAGAATCTGTAACATAAAAATAATAGTCATTTAATATTTTACAACATTTTTCGAAATTTGAAATTCTCTCGTCCTTTTTTTATTTTTTAATACTTTCTCCCACAATGGCACTATTAGATCATATGCCAACATCCCCAACCCATTCCAACTCAAGTTTTTATTAGATCACACAGTGACATAATGTCACCACTTGATGGTTTAAAAAGTGCATTGTGTTTATCCAAAATCAGGGTTTAAAGTCTTATTTTTTGGGTTGGGTTTTACATCACAACATAGTAAAAGCCATATGGCGACTTTCCAGCTTAAATTGCAAAGGATTACCTCAGATGCCACTCCATGCATTATTTTAGGCACAAACAGACACCTGAGTAGAACCACAGATGTTCCAGAACAAAGCTGGATAGCTTCCTTCACATGAAAGAATCCAAAGTCACTAGTTACACTTGAACCTACAGTAGTGAGGGGCACTTGGCCACCCCTAAAATATCAACAACGGCTAAATAATAAGGAAAAACTAGGTCAGACTTACTTTATTCCTATCAGATTTACTGTTTAGAGGATCTTCTGCTGCCAACATACCACTGCTGATGAGAATACATCCGAGCACGACGTTACCAAAGTACGCATGGTTACATACAGAATGACATATCTTACGGAACCTACACGTTGAAAAAATGAAAACATGTGCAATGTATATATTACATGTACAAAATACATTACACCCTGAATGTATGTTTCCCAATATTAAGTCCCACTGGAGCATTTCTTTTACACTTTTTAGCAAAAATTTGGGGAAATATTGAGTGATTTTTGTATGCAGAAATGAGATAGTTCTGCCAATATTAAAACTGCCTTTGTTTGATTTACTTTACTAAATGATATATTAAAATAATACACTCAACACACTTTTTCAAGCACTTATTAAGATAATTCTATCTTTTATAATAACTTGTACGAACTACGGACATGGTTTAACCATTACAAAGTCAAAAGTATAAAAAATTGCATTTACTTGTTAGTTGGAGAAAATATAAAGAGTGAGCTAAAAGGTGGTATAGGTTTCACTTTGTTTGTGATACGAATCTCGGACATGCGTCTCGGTCGAGCAGTGGACACAGTCTGAGAGTCGTCATCGTCCTCAAACTCTTCGCCTTCCTCTTCTTCATCTTCTTCAGACTGGTACTCATCCTCTGTAAACAAAACACGTTAAAATTCATGATAAATCTTTAGAACCAGACTGCTTATATTCGACATGCTAAATGGATAGTTCTTTTTTTCTGACATTCAATCTTCAAATGAGACAATAACATTTCGCTTTCTGAATGCAACAGATTCTAGCAGACAAAGATAAGATTGCAAACCAATCTGTGCTGTCCTGTCATGGTCTGCACTGTTGGCTATTCAGTGTATACATATTTTGAAAATTTCCCTAAAATGATGATTGGTTTAGTCTAGATTGAAATATGGACAAGTCCATTTAAGAAATTTAGAGTGGTAGGGAATAAATTTACGGACAAAATATAACAGTATACACACATTGCAATACTAGATGCACACATTAAACAAACCACCTAACCATATTTAACCCTTAATCTGCTGAATTTTTTAAATAAACTTGTCCAGCTTTCATTTTTGGAACTATCCATTATTAATTTTGGGGCTATCAAGATGGAAATCTTAAATAAGTCAGCTAACTAGAGCTTGACTACAATGAAGTGCAGGCTGACCCGACTTTATATTAATGGCAAAGGCTAATCATTTTTTGGTTCCAGTAGGGGTTAACATTTGTACAAAGTATTTCAAACTTTTAAACATCTGTCAACTGCTTGTAAAGTGCAAGTCCAGAACAGAAAAATATGGACCTTCAGACAGACTGTATAGATAACCCTCAGATATATTGACAAATACACTAAACAATACATATAAACTACCATTGTGGTGATACTTTTTTTTTTTTTGAATCATCACATACTTAGTATAATTCACCATGAATAAAATCATCAGCAATATGGAATATCATCCATAATTACTAACATTGTCTGAGATAACATGATAGTCTAGACAAGTTCATTATCTGATATTCATATTTATATTATTTTCCTATATAAATCCTACACTGATTCGTCATTTCACTGTTAAGATATTCCATGCAACCACAGATTATATAAATTTGATGAGCATTTTCACTTGCGGTTGAAAAAAGTTAATTGGAAGCGTGTGAGTTGATATAAAAATAGTTCTTTACTCAAGGCTTAAAAATGTTATATAAGCTATGAAAATGTTGAATATGCCAAAATTTCATAGTTTTTTATGATGGTCTAATTAAAAATTATATTCTGCAAATGTTGTGCAAGTACAGCACAACTTAGACAAAGCTACTCCCTTTGTGAGGGAAAGGTTTTGGTTGTTGCTGATGGGTGTTGCTTTAGCCAAGAGATAATATATAATGTGAAGTCTTACTGTGGGGAAAAAATAGCACTGTTGTTGTAAAGAGGTAGTTGGTCTAGAGAGGGCCATTTTGCAGGGGTTGCATTGTAGCCGTAATATGATAAACAAAGCATGTTGCCCTTAAACAGTGATCTGTTTACACACCTTACTCAGACAGCAGAAATATGCTTTCAACATTACAGCCGTACATTGGTAGGTTTATCTATCTCTCAATTTCATTGAAAGAAAATATATATAAATATATACATATAAAGCAAAATAATCTGATTTCTGTTTTACTAATTCTGTCACAATAATTCAATTAACTAACCCATTATCAACACTGATGTCTAGCACACTCCACAAATTAGTTGACACTTTGGTAAAACTTGGATATCTACAAAGTCATGCTTTTCTCACTCTTATTAGTTGTAAAGCTAAAAATCATGAATTCTGCTGGAATTATCCTGACAGACCAAAAATTGTCTCATGTAGTTCTGTATTTTTTTTTTTCTTTTTACCAAAACCAGTCCAACAAAGCATAAGCCACTTCAGTAGTACAGTAATTTTATCAGGATCTGAAACAAAGCCTCTAAATACACAGTATTTGGTATGGTATACAAGATATATTACTGTATAGAACAGACCTTCAATGGGTATATGCTGACTATGTCTGTACATGCCTTCATCATCGTCATCATCATCATATCTGGAATTTATACGTACATGATGTTCTGCGATCGGCTCATGGTGACTGAAAAATAAATCATATGTCACGGCATCATTATGTAACTCTTTAAATTTTGGCTCTAATAATTATCTACCTTAAGCCATCAGTTTCAACTAATGCTAGTCTTCACATCTGTCCAGACAAATAAGACCCAATACTCCACATCTATCTGCACAAACTAGAACTGCCACTATCATGGCGTGAATACCCCCGCATACCACTTTGTCAGAATCAACAGTGGCCATTTAGAGCTCAAGGACAACCTCCCTGCCAAATCTGAGGTTACTAAGCCAGTGCATTGCTAAGTTATGTATTCTACATGCTTCAAATGTGAAAATGTCAAAATCAATACATTGCGGACAGGACATTCTTTAGCAATTGAGAAGAAAAGCTTTTTTTTGTCAAGGTCCCTGTGACCTTGACCTTTGACCCAGTGACCTCAAAATCAATAGGGGTCACCTTATAGTCATGATCAACATCCATACCAAATATGAAGACTGTGGGTCAAAGGAATCTAAAGTTATTGGGCGGACAAGCTTTTTGAAGTCAAGGCCCCTGTGACCTTGACCTTTGACCTGGTGACCTCAAAATCAATAGGGGTCATCTACTAATCATGACTAACCTCCATGCCAAATATGAAGACTAAGGGTCAAAGGAATCTTAAGTTATTGGGCGGACAAGCTTTTTGAAGTCAAGGCCCCTGTGACCTTGACCTTTGACCTAGTGACCTCAAAATCAATAGGGGTCATCTACTAATCATGACTAACCTCCATGCCAAATATGAAGACTAAGGGTCAAAGGAATCTTAAGTTATTGGGCGGACAAGCTTTTTGAAGTCAAGGCCCCTGTGACCTTGACCTTTGACCTAGTGACCTCAAAATCAATAGGGGTCATCTACTAATCATGACTAACCTCCATGCCAAATATGAAGACTTAGGGTCAAAGGAATCTTAAGTTATTGGGCGGACAAGAAAAAACCGACGGACAGACGGCCGGACGGACAGCCGGCCGGACGGACAAGCTGATTCCAGTATACCCCCCTTACAACTTTGTTGTGCGGGGGTATAATAAGACCCAATACTGCACAAATGTTCAGTCAAATAAGCCCCAAAACTGCTTAGCTGTCCAGCCAAATACGTCATAATACTGCACATTTGTTCGGCCAAATAAGACCTAATACTGCACATCTGTCGGATCAAATATGATCCAATACAGCACATCTGTTCGGCCAAAAAGAACCAATACTACACATCTGTCAGGTCAAATAAGACCCAATACTGCACATCTGTTCAGTCAAATAAGTCCCAAAACTGAATATCTGTTGGCAATATATAAATGATATATAGACATAATTCTTTCGTAGAGGCTCAAATTATAAAACATTACAACCACTGATATTGGGCCATATAACGGGACAAAATTCTTCATTACTAGTAGTATATTATGTTAAATCTTTTACCTTCTTGATGATCTGTCACTAGGATGACGACTCAGCTGCGCGCTGTATTCAGCATCATCTCCTTTATCATCTCCGTTCATACCCACGCCCTCGTCCTCCTCTCCCTAGAAAATACATTGTCCCCCTCATAATAAAACTTTCCTTTCACCTTCTCGTCCTTATTAATGAGAGCACATCAACACAGTATACGGCGACATTCCCACTTTTGTACATCTTAACAGCTTCAATATGCACTTAACTGATACAGTAAAACCTCTAAAGAGCAACACCCTTGGGGAGACCAAACTTATGGTTGTTGTTTAGAGGGGTTGCTATAAAGAGGTTAAATCTATTATCAAGACTTACTTTGGTAAATGCTCATGTCAAGAAGTAAATTGCTTTACACTGTGCCACTCTGTGGTTGTTTAATTAAATTCAATTGGGTTTTACGTCACACCAACACAGTAAAGGTCATATGGCGACGTTCCAGCTTTACTGGAGGAGGTGCCCTTCTGTGCATTATTTCAGGCATGTACTGAGTTGAACCACCTACCTGGATAGCTTCCTCACATCAAAGAATTCAAAGTTCCTGGCGGGATTCGAACCCACAGGGGTGAGGGGCAAGTGATTTGAAATCAACGATCTTAACCACTCGGCCACGGAGGCCCCCTCTGTGGTTGTAACATTGTGTTTGAATTCACAACAATGTATTATCATACCAACAAAAGTTCTGTATTTCAATTCTAATAACCATTTTATCTCTTGATGTCTTTAAAATTGTAAAAATTCATAAAAAAGCCCCCAGACTTCACCTGTTCTTCTCCTTTTTCCGGTGATTTACTTTTGGAGCGTCGTATAGACCTAGTTCTCTCCCTTTCCTCCGCCTTTTCTGCCTCAATCTCGGTTAAACTTTGAGCATCTGCCAGATTGTCCACGGCAATAGCCAAGAACACATTCAGGAGAATATCTTTGTTCTTGTCAAGGATTGTAATCATTGGGTAAGAATGTATTTAGATCACCACTAAAAAGCTTGTATCACACAGCCTTAGCATAAGATTGTTTGTGTGAAATAACCTCAGGGTTAAATTTTTTTTTTGTATAATGAGAAAAAGAGAGGTTGTTAATTTAATACGGAGTCATGGTAAAAATGTTTGTGCTACAAGGTCTCAGCCACAAACTGTTGGTATCACAAGGATGCAAAGCTAGACTGTTCGTGTAACACGGTATCAGTATGAGATTGATGTATCAGTTGTTTTTTTTGTTTTTTTTCATATATGGAAAATGATTGAGCTTTAGGGATTTAACTCTTCTCAATAGGTCATACCATGTACAAAATGATGCTCTATTTATAGGGAGTCACAAATTTCAAGATATAATAAATCAACCTGCACCTAATTCATGATGTCAGTTATTTCTGAACCTTTTTAAAATGCAAAAGGTGTTATGCATTGTTTTTTGTTACTTTCTTAACTCAGTATTGCACCTTCTGATTTTTTATATTGAATTTTCTAAATACAAATAATAGTAACGCAAGTAGTTCTAAAAAAGGATACAGTTACCACAGATAAAAAGGACAACAAAATACACCCAGACTACTGCGCCCATATCAGAAACTCCGCCAAACGCTCTTATACCATCATACATTGCAGCATTCCAGTCTTCACCAGTCAGAATCTAAAACAACAAAATCATCAATAATACTATTGAATTACTACATGTATATATAAAACCCTTAGCATGCTGGCTGTAACTGGTTCTACCATTGCGATCTTTTCAAACAAAAAAATCATCTGACATATTCATTCCATCTGATCATGGTCTGCACTGTTTGCTGTTCAGTCAGTATTTACATTTTGTATTTTCAAAAAATTTTCCCTAAAAACATTGTATGGTTTTGTCCAGATTGAAAGATTTGCTTATATTACTATATTACATACTGACCGAACTAAACTAAATATTTTTATTAATACAATGAAGAATTTAGTGCACAATAACCTAAAAGGTTGAAATTCTGGATAGGTAAATATTTCATTACAAATGCCTGGACTGGCTTACACATTCAAATTTTGAGTCTTGTGCCCTGTAATTCAAAACTGTGCTACATAACCATATGGTTATACTCTTGATTCTTATAATCATGTTAGATGCTGAAAATTTTCAGAAATTTTTTCAAATTGAATTTCATAGTCTAGTCATCCCATTTTCATTCCAGTATCTGCAGTCTATTATCTAACTTAATCATATACAGTCTAGATAAACTAAAAATAATAAATTTTATTTAATTATATCATAGATTAATATAATTTCACAGCTTAATTTTCACAATCAATAGCACAATCTCAATTCATAGATGTGACATTCTGGCAAAAATATGTCAGTTTTCGTTTTTTTTGGACAATATATGATATTTACAAATAGGTCTTCTTATTTGTATATTTTAAAGTCACATCAACACTGTACAAGCCATCAGTGACTTTCCAGCTTTACTGATGAAGGAAGATCTTTCGCTGGTGCCCCTTCGTGCATTATTTCATGCATAAGCTGGCACCTGAGTAGAACCACTGACTTTCAGTAACTTAGCTGGAAAGCATCCTTACATGATAGGTATTTCAACGATGTAACAAATAAGTTTAATGTTTTCATCACAAATGAGTGAAAATAAATATGTTCACACTCAAGTTGCAACATATAGTTTATTGTACCTGGAAGACAGTGAGCAGTGACTGGTAAAAGGTATCGAAGTTGCTACGAGGTTTGCCGTCTGGAAAATTAAATTTCCCGCCAAACAACTGCATACCAAGCAAGGCAAAGATCACAATAAACAAGAAGAGGAGTAACAACAAACTGGCAATAGAACGCATACTGTTGAGTAACGACGCCACAAGGTTTCGCAGAGATGACCAATACCTGTAGAAAAAAAGAATATCATTGGTCAATTGTTTTTATTTCAATCTTGTACATTTTATTACTTTATCACGCACATATTGTCTTTGGTGTGTGTGAGTTCTGAAGGTTTGCTTGATTTTTTTAATTTGAGCGTGAAAATTTAAGAATTTCACACATTTCATCGTGATTATGCTCTATGAAGAGTGAGGTGATTACTGAAGATGTTGATGATTTCAGTTGCCATTTCTGTGACAAAAATTAAATTTGAACAAACCAAAAAAAAGTATGACATATATAATCATTTAATTAAAATAAATTTCAATTCAAGGTCTTTCTAATCACTTTTTAAATTATATTAATTTCTCTACAAAAAAGCATTATGTTTCCATACTCATACATTACTCACCAAGAAAAGTAGTATGACTCAAAGAAAAGCATTACAAATGTATTTCTCTAGATAAAGAAAAATATCACAAAATGGAACAAATTTTTTTGACATATGTAAAGATACATTTAAATGACGGCTAAAGTCTTCTACTGAAATTTTCCATTAATCATGCAAAAAGACCACATGAATAACACGTCTGCTGTAACATTTGTTTTCATCTTTTTTTTTTACCGTGGTACCACAATCAAATTTATTTATTGTGCATACAAATGTACATAGATAGGAAAGAACATAACCACTACCAAATTTATTATTATGTGTACACAGATGGGAAAAGAACTTACCGTGTAGCTTTAAAAACACGTAACAAGCGAGCACACCTTAGAACGCTAACACCTAAAGGTGGCATTAAATCTGTCCGTATTAATATCACTTCTATAATACTGCATAGCACAACAAAACTGTCAAAGCGATTAAACAAGGACACAAAATAGCCTTGAAATCCTAGACTGTACATCTTTAACAACATCTCCAACGTGAATAAAATCACAAAAAATATGTTGGCCCATTCTGAAATAAAAAAAATGACAGAAAAATATTTTATATACTTATTATGCAAGCTTATTTGTTACATTGTATTCACTACATTTTGGTAGAAATTAAGAAAATTAACAAAGTGGAAAAGAATTATCATATCATTAGGTATGATAAGAATACAATATAGGGATTTCAATAAGCTCAATACTAGCAATATTAAAACCCCTCACAATAACGAATGAACAGTTCTTAATTCAAAGCTGGACAAATCCATTATACTAATTCAGCAATATAGCATGGTTACGGTTAATGACTCTACATGTATATGTAATACAAAATACAGAAAATAAATATATGAGCCGCGCCACAACAAAACCAACATAGTGCGTTTGCAACAATGATCCAGACCAGCCATCTATCAGGATCATTGTTCGCTTACAATACTATAATACAAGTAAGAAATGATTCGAACACATGGATCCTATCAGACAGCTGATCATCTGTCGCAAAAGCATGTTACGTTGCTTTGTCAATGCCGCTAATATTTAGCATACCTTGAAATTCGTCCAACCAATCCGGTTGTTCATAATGCTCTGAGGTTAAGACACAAGTATTCAGAAACACCATCACAATAACAGTCCAATAAAATGGCGTGCTTTTAACAAATCTTCTACACGCTCTGCGACATCGACGATTTAATTTCCGTAATCTACGACTGAAAAATGAATGACATACGTATATAACAAACATCCTTTGTTTTGTTAGGAAACGGAGACCACTTTTTTACTTGGACATATAAATTTGAAATCGTAAACATATTATTTACACTCATTTCTTTTTTGCTTTTTCCTCCATACACAAAAATGGAATTTTCCAAACTATAATACATAACTGAATATTCCTGCATTATAAAATTTGTAACAAATATTCAAAGATGTAATGTGAACATCTGTTTTTTTTATTGTTGTTGTTAAATTTGATGTAAAATACACTTTTCAGCCAATTTCCTTTTTCTTTTTCTTTTTTTTTTTAAATTTGTTGGGTTTTATGTTGTACCAACACAGGTCATTATGGCAACTTTACAGCTTTACTGATGGATGAAGACCTCTAGTGCACCTCTGTGTATGCATTAGTTCAGGTACAAACAGACACCTAAGAAAGTTTGAGTAGAACCACCAATGTAAGCTTGATGGACAGTTTCGTCACATGAAATAATCCAAAGTCTCTGTCGGGATTCAAACCCAAAGCGGTTTGAAGTTGAAGTAAAACCATTTATTATCAGCTAGATAGATTAACACTTTCACCATATGAAAGGTATCAATGTCACATGCCAGACAGCTTAAGTAGAATTTTTATTTTAGTTTATACATAATTTATCTTAAGTTTTGATTCTGTTGAAAGCTATAAGCCTATAGAAACTCTTTCGAAATCTTTCCTGCAACCAACAATAAGTTGTAATAGTGGATATTTTGTTACCTTTTTCTATGCCACCAAGTTTGTTGTACCTCGTCCACATCAATGCCATCTTCAGTTTTATCTGAAGAGTCTGTTTCACTAGTTACTTTTGCTGAAAATAAATCAAATTAATATTATATATCTTTATCACACAACATCAATGTAATACTAGCATAACATTATTTTCTTTATATCATATACACATTTAATATAAAACATCTTAACCTCTGATTGACCCTATGTAAAATCAATCTTTGGCTTCTTTTTTTAAGTAGTGCATCACATGATGCTTTGTTCCTTTTTTTGCATTATTTGGCTTTATAATACCATAGTGATTAACTCTTGACCTGCTGTCTGCTATTAAAGTGTCATGCAACTAGTGAAAACCAAGATCAGCTGGCACATTCATGCTGTCTTTCCATGGCTCGCACTGTTCGCTATTCAGTCAGAATGTACTCTAAAATTTTCGCTAGAGATAATCAATGGTTCTGCCCAAACTGAAGGATGGGCAAGTCCATTTATGATAATAAGAGAGGTAATGGTTATATGAATCTTAAATCCATTATCATTTTCAGTGTTATCGTAAGACGTGGCTGGAAACCAAATTGACTGTCTTAAATGCATTATGGGCAGCCTCAAAACTGAGAAAAGAGTTTTATTTTATATGATAAAACTTAAAAATGTCCCCCTCAAATTCAAAATAAGCCTGCTCAAACCCACCCCAAACCCTATATTTTATATAGAACCGGCCCCTGTGATGTTACATAAACAAGAGAGTCACAGATTCAATTTAAAACACTTCAACTCTGTCACAGTTTATATGAAAAGACAACTTATGAAAGATCCTATACAAAAATGTATCTACATACATGTATATCACAAAATGAACATTAAGCTAGAAATATCAAACCTTTTCAATAATCTTAGAAGGAAGTATCAGGTTGCATAATGTATCTCTGCGTAGACACTGTTACAAATATACTCATCAAATTACCATGCTCTACATTTATATAACTATATAGGGAATATTACATGAGCTAGCTATCCTGATAGGTTATATTGGAACGAGCTGATTGTGTAAAGTTGCATTCCCACGAGCCCACGAGGGAATGCATTTTTATATTGATGTTGCATAAAATATATTTATCACTGCAACATTTAGCTCATGTTATGTCTATTGAAGTCAACCGTCACAGAGTTGAAGAATATCGTTAACTTACTGTGTCGACCTTTTTCTGTTTCCTCGCCTTCTTCATTATCAGGGTCCATAACCTCTGCAAGATAAACAATTACACGCTAGTATTAAATAACTACACAAAATATACACCACACATAACATATACACTACACACAACATATACACTACACATAACATGTACCCTATACTACACATAACATATACACTGCACACAACATATACACTATACACAACATATACATTTCACACAACATTTACACTACACACAACATAAACACTACACACAACATAAACACTACACACAACATATACACTATACACAACATAAACATTTCACACAAAATACATGTATAAACTACACACAACATATACACTACACACAACATGTCCCCTACACTACACACAACATATACACTACACACAACATATACACTACACACAACATGTCCCCTACACTACACACAACATATACACTACACACAACATATACACTACACACAACATGTCCCCTACACTACACACAACATATACACTACACACAACATATACACTACACACAAAATGAATATATACACTACACACAAATAAATCACTACACACAACACATACATGTTAAAATCATTAATGCTTTAATTACATATATATTTTAAATGATCTTCATTATAAATACACCTGTCTGTGAAAAGAAAAAAACATACATATATCTTCAATCTCAGAAGCTTTTTTAGGTACAAACTCAATTTCATTCTCAACATATTCAGGTTTTTCAATTTTATACCTCGGCAATAAGCTTAAAGACCAAAAAAGCCAAAATAACCTGAGAATGGAAAAGTATTAAGTTATTCAATATAAGAAAGACAGGAGACCTTCTTTTGTGACAACTTAACACATTGTCTCTGACCTAGCCTACTTTCTTGACAAATTTGACCTAATTTTTTTACAAATTTAATGCATTGTTTCTGACTTTAATCAAAATTAAAGTGGAGATGTAAAGCATGAATAGATTAACTTATGAATACTTTGGTTCAATTACAATACCATTTCTTTTAGTTCTGTAAATCTTCTTCGATCACAATTAAAACCCTGTCTAATTGTCCTTTCACTTACCAACCTTATTTAACAGTCGTGAAAATATAGCAACAGAGTATGAATTCTGATCAGACTCACGAAGAGAGTTTAAAGGGATTTCAATATATCAAAATATAAACAGTATTAAGCCTGGTCAGACAGCACAGTAGTATAGGCTGGCCTGGCTCTATACTAGTGGCGAAGGGTGAGCACTATCGGCACCAGTAGGGTACAGGTTATGCAAAAATTGGCCAATTCTTATTTTAGTAAATCAAACGGACTTTCCAAAGGTCAAACATATAAGAAACATCTTTTAAGTGATCATACCATAATTGTCTTGATATTGATGATTGTTTTGATTGTTGTTGTTTTTTTTTAATCAGAAAGCCTGATATATTTAGCTCCGATATATTTGAATAATAGTCCTATTTATGTAAACAAGGATTTTAAGTGTAAAATAGGGCAAGAACACAGATCTTTTTCCCAAATGACAGAACTCAACTGCTGAATATTTCAAATTTTATATAAAATTTCCCCCCAACCAGCTTTATTTCTTTAATTTTTTTTTAATTATATCTATTATTATTATTTTTGTATTCAAATATGGCTTTTTAGGAAAAATACCATTTATATTATGTGTGTTTTTATCTAAAAAAAAAAAAAAAAAGTTAATATATTACATGTATTAGGTTTATCAAATTTTAGCAAATTTCTAATGGTTAACAAAATTAAGTTTCCAAATTTAAAGACATTTGCTGTTGAAAATTAAAAATTACAGTACAACAACAATGGCCAAATAAATAACACAGTCTGAAAAATATGCAAACTGGAACACTCAAGCCAATTAGACACAATACTGTTGGCTATACCCCTTTAATGTAACACACCTCAGATACAATACTACAAGTGCATAAAACAAAATCAGAGTTGAAAAAAGACTGAATAACAAACAGATATCAGACAAGCTTCATATATACATGTAGTATAGATACACATTGAAATCAGCAAGAAAATATCCGATATCTAAACAAAATGCATCTGTTAAAAGCAAATTACGACCATAAAAAAGCTTCAAAAGACGCATGACATCCCTGGTGATTACGAGCATGGCTAGAGATTCACCGTCAGACAGTAACCTTCTTTCATATCTACCAGTTGTTTTCCTGCTAGAAATTCTGCAATCAAAGCTTCCCACATAACGAACATTATTGATTCTAAATTTCAGTTAAATAGAGCTCCCCTCTTGGTGGAATGAAATTGGTTTTTAATCTATCTCGTTTAAAAGAGAAATCGAGCGGGAATCCTCGACTTTGACAATGGAAACATGGAGGCATAAAGGTATGCTAGCCTTGTGCCTATTAGGAATGAATAATAAATAGATAAAAAGTGTACATATGCATCTTTATGGCAAGCCGAAGCGTAAAATTGCAAATAAGTGATATCTTGTTTATTCTAAATATGTAGTTGCTATGTTATTTAACATTCATCATTTTTTCAAATAAACAAGAGCTATTTGAGAAGTAGATTGCTCTACTTTTCTCATTTGCACTCCGATTTCATGACCAATTTAATGTTTTGTTATTACCAGTATTTTGTAAGTACCAGTAACCTTGATCTTTGACCTTTTGAACTAAAAATAGGTGTGATAGGTAAAACTCATCAAGGTGCATTAACATACTAAATTTCAATGCAATAGCTTTGTTAGTATTAAAGTAATAGACCATAAACCGAAAGGTTAACAAACACTGGGGCTTTTGAGTGAGGTCATGACAAATAGCTCTGCTCTTGTAATACATTTGTACAAAGGAGATAAACCTCTCCGTAGCAACAACCTTTGAATAAATTTGACCAAATAATAAATTTAGGATTGTTTAGATTCATAAAATTTCAAATGTTTTTCCCATTTTATAAAATATTATCTACTACTAAAAGAATAATTAATTGTAAGGTTTTTAAGCCAATCTCAATACTTTTTTGGTCATATGTCGTTGGTTAGTCTACCTATTTCACTTTCCTAGATAACTAACCAGAAATAACCAATTTCTCCACTATGCTTTTTCCGCATATTTCTAAATCTATGTCTGTGATCATTTGTCAAGGAGGAATTTTGCCTCATTTTGGATGGTGTTAACAAAGCTAAAAGAATACTTACCTGTTCAAGGTGACAATTTTGGCAAAACCAAACCACACATAACACTAACATTACACTTATAAGAAATCTTCTTCTAAAAATAAGTTCCGGTCAGAGTAAAACACATATATACATAATGTGATGTAGATATGATAAGATGGTTATAGAGCTTTGTTTTTTAAAATGCATTGCTATTTTACCTGCTTGTGTGATCCAGTCTAGATACCCTCGTATATCTTCCTCAAGTTGCTGCTTTTCTCGTAACTTTTGAAAGTCTCCGCGAGCTTTGGCTTTTTCCCTTTCTTTAGAAAATTCACTGCAAGCAAAAAAAAAACAACATTTTATTTCATATTATATCAGATCATCACCATGACTTAAATGCACTTTCAGAATTTTTCTAGCTCTGAAGAGCAAAAGCTTTCTAAAAGGTCAAGGTCATTTGTAAGCTGACCATTTTATAGCCTTGTAGTAATACTTAAGCTCAATTACATATCGTCTAACACAAACCAGCAGCATGGCTATCAAACTGTTTTATTTGCTTCTGTATTGTAATCAAATCTATCGTCCTTTAATACAAGTAAAGCAGTATACAATCAGGGGTTTACATCTAGAAATTCAAAGCCTATAGACTGTCTCCAGGAAAATAACATTTCAAATAATTAGTTTTACAAGCCTTCTCTATTGACAAGAATTGCTTTACAATTAAATTTGAGTCAATAATTCGTACAGCCAAAATTTAGGAGCCACTAAAGTATTCTTTACTGCGTCTTTTGGTGTTTTTTATCTTATACATCTTCAGTTGATGGCCTAGTTCTTGATACATATAACATGTTTCGCTCACTGTTTCATGTGAGAGAGATAGAAAAAAAAGTTGAAGTTTACTTAAAGCTAAAACAAGGTATATTAACATGCCTGTGCAACCCACTTTTTGTATATCACTATAGAGACATACTGCTTGTATGTATGACCTATTTTTTCATTCAATATTTCAAAACTTTGAGACCTTGACCTTTGCAGCACTTAAATTGTTTAATGTTAAGGCTATTTTTTACATAAAAATGATTATTCTGGAAAAACGGAGTGACAGATTGCACTGAAAACATTACACACAAGTTATCTATCTTACAACACTATTGGTACATAAATCTCAGAAAAATATTTTCAATCCCATCAAAAATCCTTCGCTTGAGTCCCTTTAATCAATTCGATTATTTCTATAATGATATCCGGTTGTGTAACATTGTCTGCTAAATTCCAGTATATCTATACTAAAATTCCCTAAAGTTAACCATAGTTCTGAATTCAAAGCAAAATACATCAATTTCCATTATGTAATAAGTTACAGGGATAAGTGTTTAATCTGTTAGAGAGCTTGGCCCATTATGTAAGCTATAATCTTATTGTAGATTCTTAGGTGAACAATCCTAAAAAAGGATATATGACATTTTCTCCCCCTTGCTATCATTGATACAACTCATTTTCATTTGTGAGATAGAACATTTTGTATCCTGTCTTGGGAGTTATGAATGGTTCACAAGGATCTCTCGTATCACATATCACCTTTACATCACAATGTTCTATCAAGGTTTTAACGAACACAATTTTATTAAATATATCACAGACTTGATAGAATTCTTGAGAAAAAAAAAAAACAAACAAATTTTATCAGAAATGTACTGACGATATTTCTAGCTACATGAAGACCGTGGCTCTGTTGTCTTTTTTATGTGTTTTTTTCTGCTGTTTATGAAAAACTGTTAACTAACTTACTAGGTGATAATTATCAAAAACTGAAAACCTGTGAAACAGATTCATTTTTATTGGAATTTCGTTCTCATTTCCTGTAAAGAAACCAAAAACTGAATACTAAACAAGAACTGTCCGTAAGAAGGCATGCTTGACTATTCTCAGTGCTTGACAGTAAAACAAGTGCCTGGATAATGAAGCATTTTCTAAGTACAAAAAGGGCTATAATTCTGTCAAAATCTATGTTAAATTATGGGCCTTAGACAGTGACCTTTTACAAAGGGCCATAATTCTGTCAAAATCCATGTTATAGTTATTGGCTTTAGTTATTGACCTCCTATAATGCTTTCAAATCAGTGAGTGAAGTTTCAACCCATTCCCTTACAGTAGTTTTGAAGATACCAACTTGCACGCGAAAAAATCTAAATAAAGTGTGAAGGTGATGCCAACACATGGGTGATAACAATAGCTCAATAGTCAAACTAAAAAATAACATTCACTGAATTCTTAGTTATCTGAAAAGTTATCATTAGTTTATGTAGGTGATAATTAGTAGTTTTTTCCTTTGTAACTTTTAACAACAACAAAAATCAACTTATTTCCATCACCACAATAAAACATGTGTAACTCTTCATAACAGCAGGTAATGATAATGAAAGATGGTTCCAGGTGTGTTATACATGTACACATTTTTTAAAATTCACCACAAGAACGCTAAAAAGTTGACTCATTTCCAAAGACGCTATGTAATTCCAATTTTTTAGAGGAAAAAGCAATTGGTTAAACCAAAATTACTTCAACTGCTTCTTTAGCATGCGAAGTATAAAGAACCATTACATGGAATCTAGGTCTTCAAAGTCTCATCTTAAAGACTGCTATGTTAGTACTTTAGAAGGAGTAGCAAGGTTTTGAACTTTGGATCCCTGTATTTATGGTTAAAGCAGTGTTTAAACTTGGCCCACTATCTTGGCCTAATATCTTGGTTACAGGGCATTGAATGCCTGTACTTGCAGTAAGACAAGTGTTACAAATGGGCCTATTCTCTCGGTTACAGGGCATTGAATGCCTGTATTCAGGGCATTGAATTTTAAGGCATATGAAATGAAAGAAAAACTGATGTCTACATTGTACTTACCCACTGAGGACACCAAGAACAAGGTTAAGAACAAAGAATGATCCCAAGATAATCAGACTGGCAAAGTATATCCAAGGCCACTCATTACCCATTGCATCATTTATCTGAAATATTTAAAACAATAATGTAATACTTACTTCTACAATACAAAATTTTGTACACATGGATTTTACTGTTACATTCTTAAATCATTTCCAGGAATAAACAATTACAAAGTATTCAGTGTAAAGTTTCTTGGTCAAGGAAGCAAATGGCTGGCGGCCCACAGGTTTAAACCCACACAGCTAGCAATCTTTAGACTTAATTCTAACACTATAACCACTCAGCCAAACCGCCTTTTTTAAGTGTAAGGGGTTACAATATTGGTTAAATAAAATTGAGCAATAAACTGTATTATAATCAATTGCATAGACTTCTTAGCAGATTCTAGGCGTTTTGGTGCTTTAGACCATACAACCAACCTAAGCCACCAGAAAACACCTGGGCTGGTATGAACATCGGTTCAGTCTGACCAGAGTCTATACTGTTTTAGGCCATGCAACTGACCTATGCCACTAGCATAAACCTAAGCCAGTCTTACCAAAGTTACTATTTTAAAAGACTTAACATCAGCTGCTTTAGATCAACAATGGAGATTTCACAATTCAAAACTAGTTCATCACCCACATTTCTGTGATTAAATACTCAATAAAAATCTGGAAAAAGGGTGATCCCTTGAAAGCTATGTAAGCAACAACATCATATGACGTTTACACTGAAAAAGCCACTTGTTTCTGTAGAACTATATACTAATAAAACTAGGCTTCAAACAGACAAGGTCGTATCCTAATGTGTACAAAGACACAAAATTCTCGAGAAATAAACACAACCATATGCTAAATGAAACATCAGAGACAAAAATTTATGCAAATAAAGGCAGATTGAGACCGTTCCCATAAGGCCATTAAAGCTTATTTGATCACAAATAGAGGAAATAAAATCTCTCGTGAGATCAAGAAAATTTTGTTACTATAAATAGAAACTATTTTCATTTATTACATTTATTTAAATCAATTCATAACTCACAAAGAAAATCTAGTTACACTGTATAACATTTATGAAGAAATAGAAATCCAATAATACAATGTAGATCAAACTTAAGTCATTTTAACATTATGTAAATTTATGTGATTTCACAACTTTTAAACCAATAATTTTTTCTATTTACATGTTTTTATTGACTAATTTATTCATTAAATTCCTTTGCTTATTTGTTTATTTGTTCATCTTTCTTTGGAATTATTAAGTAAACATGAGTTCCAACTCATTAGGTGCCCCTATGAACAAACATTTAAGGCAGTTTGCACCTGACATGAAACCTCTCACAGCAAATCAAACCAATTATGTGTCAAACACAAAGTGATATTGTAGTCAATTACATAAACTACTTGACCATAAAGGCTCCAGATAAATAAAGTTTATAATCTAATATTCAAAATTAAGAAATGAAAAAACACCGGTAAAACAAAATAACTGTATACATCAAGTCTAAGAGCATTTCAATTCAATAAGGTTGCTTTTCCTATTAAATCATTTATAAAACCTAGACATTTTAGAAACAAAGCGTTCATCTCAAAAGTTTTGTATTCTGTGCAATATCAACAAAGTTGAAGACGAATTTCATGACAGTGCTATACACATGAGACCCATATCATCAGAGTATAAATTCATATTTTCAAGATGGCAATTGACTTATCATGCAATCATTTTAGTATTATTTGATTTCAAATCAGCATTCTTTCAAGACATTTCTGTTAAGATGTTACTTGCTCTTGCTCTGATATGTTTATTGATTTATTTATATCAACTTTTTTTCTAGAAGACAAACAAGATAATTTTAACTTTTGGCTTAAATTGTCGATAGTGAACTTGGTCAAGACAATTTTGACATTTGGTTTAAATTGTCTACAGTGAAACTTGGCAAAGTGTACAAGATATTCAGACTTAATTCATAATTTGAAACTTGTTTATAGATAAACAAGTCTGAGTCACCACAAGGTGTTTGGCATTTCTGGACGATGCATAGATAGAATAGCGGGCTTGTAATCCAATACTTACACTATATAAGACATCAGTCCACCCCTCCATTGTTATACACTGGAACACTGTTAACATAGCAAGTCCAAAATTGTCAAAATTTGAGATTCCATCATTTGGGCCGTCCCAGCCCTTTCTGCAAATATGTCCTTCTTCTGCATTGCACTGATAACCTTTTCCCGACGTATTTGAACAGGGCGACGGGCTATCACTAGCAAATTTATCTGAAATGAGAAAAAAACAAATCGCATATCACCGACGATGTTTAAAATGTCTTATCTTGCCAAACTATCCTCTTAAAATAGAAGACATTAAGTGGAAAATGATGCCTAAAATCAATTCAATCTAATTAAATGAAAGCTGTTGGTCACAATCTCTTTTATGAATAGCCCTTTTTTTTCATCTAAAGAAAATGCATTTCAATATATCTGAAAACAGCTATTTGCACAGGAAAAATGTAGTTAATATTTTGCTGTTGTAAAGCCATCGATGAAACAATTTTGTTGGGTTGTTTTGGTTCCATTGATACAATATTATCTAATACATTACAATTATTTTGTTGCTCATACTTTTCACTTCCATTAATATGACAAACAGTATAAACAGTCATATTTACAGCTCAATGTGAAGCAAGTTCTTGCAACTTATATTAATCATTTTTGTGTCTGCTTTCTCGAACAAACCCAATACTGGTGTCATATGAGGAAATATGGTCGTAACCATTATAAGGCTCAAACCCACAACCCCCAGGTTGAGTGGAGACATCGATAGGCCACCTTAAGTTGTTGCATTATGGATGTTTGTTTGTTTTCAGTCTTCTTTGGTCATATCTCGGAGGTCATTCCACCTTACTGACTTTCATGGAATACTTTATAAAGCATGTGTCGAAATAAGGCTCAAACCCCTAGGTTGAGAGCAGACATCGATAGGCCACCTTCAATTGTTGCATTATGTATTTTTGTTTGTTTTCTGTTTTTAACGCCCCTTTTTAACAAATAACACCTTTTTGGTCATATGAAATACTTACCAGTTCCATTGATAAAGCATGTATCGTGTAATTTCCCTGAGAAGAGTTCTAGACCGACTATAGCATAGATGATGATTACAAAGATGACAAGAAGGGCAATGTGTAATAAAGGCACCATTGCACGCAATATAGAGTTGAGTACAACTTGTAAACCTGAAAGAGATAAACGAAAATAATGCACACAATATAGAGTCGAGTAAAACTTGTAAACCTGAAAAAGATAAACGAAAATAATGCACACACTATAGAGTTGAGTATAACTTGTAAACCTGAAAAAAGGATTAACGAAAATAACCTAAGTTTATAACTTATTTTACCAGGAAATAACCAACTCTACCAATCACATCAAAATATAGTTTTTTTACAAAAATCTCATGACATGCAAATATTCTCATCAAAAAGAAGTTTATTAATGAAACAGCCAAAAAATGTCTGTCAAATTTGTTCTATTCAGTAATGGTATAAACGAAATACAGTTAATTTTCAATATTTTGGTTTCAAGGGAAAGTACATTTTACTTTGCGAGGGCCATGACTTGGTCTTTTGTACATGTGTAAACCTTACTAAATGTCTGAAGTTGTTGTTATGCTCGTAAATGTTAACGGGCATGCTGCGTAAAAAACACTTGTCAATCTAAGTTGTAAATTTTAAATATATGGTCTCATTTCACTTTATTGCTTAAAACTTACAATGGAACATTGTTTTCTGCAAGATCCAGTACTTTTTTTAAAAAACAAAATCTTCAGAAAATAAAGAAATAAAAATTCTTCCTACAAAAATATTTTTCATAAGGCTGACTAAGCATTAAGAGAAAAAGTTATTGGGAAAAATCTGAAACAAACCAAGCAATATGTCTTATTGTATTTTCCCCCCATGGGCATCTTACAATACAATTGCCTAGGTGACAAATATTATTACATGCTGGCGATCTCCACCAGTAATGACCACGCATTTTCCAATAGAGTACAACTGTATGTCGCACAGGCATTAAATGTATATCTATTAAGCCTACAAGTAAATCTCGTAAGAATTTTGTATACTCGGTCAACATAACATAAAAATATTGGCAACTAATTCCACCAGATCCTGGCTTGCGATTAATTCTACCAGAATCCGGTTGAATTTATATAATGGACTGGAAATGCTTAGAATTTGGAATTGTCAAGAAGAGTACAATGTGTGATACTTAATGAAACATTTGTCTAAGGCCATAAACTCTCATATCTGCACACTGAAACATTTTGAATGAACATGAATGACTGTGAGAACTAGCAAAGAAAAGATTTTTTGTTGGGTTTTAAGTCACCTATTTAATTCACATATACACTGTAAAGATCATTATGGCTGCATTTCAACTTAAATGTTGGAGAAACACCTCAGGTGCCCATTTGTAGGAACAGGCACCTGTGTCAGTTTGAAAACCAGGTTTCAGCCATTCCGTAAAGTAGCTGGATTAGGAAAAATGTTACAAATGAAATCTTAACCATACCCAGTGTACCATTCAAACTGTATCAATCAAACTTTAATGAATATATGGACTGTTATATATTTTAATTTATGAACCTCACAGTCAATAATTTGATTAATGGGCCAAAACTCAAAGACAATAATATCAAAGTGATGGAGAGAATTGAAAAGACTACATAAAATCAACATCTTTTGTCTAAAAATGTCACATAGTAGAATTTCTAACAAGAAAATGACACTTCACCGAAATTAAAACATCCAATTTATGTTAACAAAGATTCCTTAAGCAAAGACTGCATTTTCGAGCACAGAAATTCAAGAAAATGGAATCAGCTCATCTTGTCAAGCCTAGTTTGGTGAAATGTATCATTTAATTTGATTATATCTTCTAACAGTTCACATTCTCATCTTGTGTGAAAGAAAACTTCAACAAAACAGCTCAATTTCAATTATTCATCTATTCCTCAAGGGTATATTTGGAATAAAAGAAAAGTCTTCAATTTTCAATACAGTGGCTTCATATGACAAAAACGCGAACTAGTATTGTGAGATGAAAGAACTTTAGGCTACGTTTTTTTTTGTTCTGTACCCAATTTTTTAATTTTTAACAAAAAATGATGGAAACTGATATAAAATCGTTATATTTGCAATTCTATTATGGGGATTACTAATGAAATAAATTTTTATGCAACTTTAACTGACAACTTCGCCTTGGTATGAAATATAATAAAATCCTCGACTTTGATTACATTTTTGCAGAGTTACAGCCCCTTTTATATATTACTCATGTAGTAGACCAATACCTCTTTTATAACTTAGTTGCTACGGCTAATTCTTAATTAACGTCAAAACTAAATTTTGCCACTATCTCAGTCAATGCTTAAAATATTCATGTACATATTGCGCCTTATTGACATTATGCTAGAATAAAATTCCACCAGAGTTTCATATCTCATTTCACAAGTAAAACGAGCAATACTACTGCGGCCAGACTCCATTACTATAAACTCTAACTCCACCATTCTACACTAAATTACAGTTACAACTAATTGTAAAGACAATTTTGATGGAAGAACTTCCCAGGGGACACCATCTTTCTCCTCACAAAATGTTGCAATCCAATTAAACATAGACTTTCAGCGGTAGTTAAAGAATTTCTTGTCCCACCATTAGGGCGGAAGACAGATTCTCTAAGACTTACGATTACTGTAAAGTTATTAACGATCTATGTAGGGATAATCTTTGCACTCACAACCTTCATAAAAGAAAGAAACATACATTAAAGGAAACAAAATCTATACGAGATATTTGGTCATTCCTTAAGTGAAGAAAAAATATTTATGACATCTCCGTCATTTCTTGAGGAAAGAAACGTATGAATGATATTGTGTCACAGTCAGGGAAAACTTTGGCGATCTGGACAAAGCCATTCATAATTTTCAGGGAAAAATTTCAATGAATAACTGACTGAGTAGCGAACATCACAGACCATGATCAGATGGTACGGACATGTTGTGCACTGAACGTATGGGTAGATTCAATCACTGATCAGCAAAATTTGTTTAACAATTCCCTATTGTCAGAATGCGCAATTATTCACCAGCTCATTTTAAACAAGTTGCGACTGTTATAGGGACATGATTTTTTTATCGTACAAATACGGTCAATGTAACGATAAAAAGTCAACAACATTGAAAAAAGGGAACTGCTTTACTTACTTGGTGCCCTTGAAACAAGCCGCAAGGGTCGTAACACCCTAAACGCTCTAAGGGCTTTAACATCAAAAACATCATCCCGTAAAGTAGACGATAAAATTGTACTAATTAACCTGAAAATATACAAAACATAAAACATACACATAGTCATGTACACAGAAAAAAAAACCAAGCAAATAATTTACTTATTTATCTAAGCTAGCAGAAAATTACATATTAAGTAACTTCATGCTACAGCAAGATTAGTATGGTATATTAAATAATTGAGTTCCATATATCGCCCAAAAAAAATTCAGCGAGATTCATTTTATATGCACACTGACCTAAATTAAGTCAGTACGCGGCAATGAATCTGTAATAAGATATACACTTAATTAAGAAAATATACTTACAGTACTGGACACGCGAAACCCGCAAAAGTCGCGTTATGCCGCGAGTGTAGTCTATGTCGCGACGGGACACTTCGCGGTAAAACATCGCCGCGTGCAAGTTCGCCGAATTTCGTGGCGGGTCACGAAAAATCGCCGCGATGTATCGCCGTAATTTACGGCGAATCTTCAGCAATAATTGTATTAGAAAGTACTACTTGGTCCTTAATTCCCGTGATCTTTAATTTTGAAAACTTTAAAAAAAATCTTGTAACGTCTTGTATATTTATAAATATTTAGCATTTGAACATGTACAGCGTATACATTTTGTATATTAAAACAAAGCAATCAGGTGCTGGTGAAAATTAGTTAACAATAAAACGAGATTGAAATTACAAAAGGTAATTGGTACTACATCAAAGAACGCACGATAACAAATTGTCCAATTGTTATTTTGATAATAATACAAATGTAATTAAAATCCATTGTTTACTTTCGCACATATTCTATTTTTAGAACAATGCAAAGCGACATTTAGCACCGATTCACAGGTGTAACTAATTATTACGTCTAATACGCTAATTATGATTGTTGAAAATTGTAAAAGTTTTATCACTTAAATTGACATTCTTTACCTTCAATTTCACGAGTAAAAATGCCAGGTGCATGAGTAGGTGATGAGAAATGTAAATAAAATATCACAATCAAAATGCACTTACGATTAATAATATGTCAATAATTGACACAATCAATATCCAACATTTTTTTTACTTGAGCAATAATTAAACATGTGTAATCATTCCTTGACAAAAAGAAATGACAGTTTTTTTCTGATATATAAAAAAGAGGTGAAAGTCAATCGAGTGTCGGCATTTCTTTGATGATTCGGCAACAACTACAGGTGTGTAAACATCAAAGATTCACAGATTCTTCAAGAAGAGCCGACCAGTCATTTGTCAGAGGTCATTTCGTGTGTAAATTTTGTATTTATTATTTAACAATGGAAACATTATATTCCTTTTATTTATGGATGCTTCTTTTTGCGCGAGTGTTTTTGTGTCTTTTAGCGCTATGGAATTTCAACAATCGGCGATAATTTTCGGTAACTAACAATTAAATATTTTAACATTTTTAAAACAGGGGTGCAAATATCCGCCATTCAGAAATTATAGCAGACAAATCTTGCGTGTGTTATTTTTTACAAACGTGTAATAAATTGAGTAATGATCACCCGAGAGAACGAAATGTCCCGGTGATCCACTACATTTAGAAATGAACAAGTTAATGTCGTATCAATTATGTATCTTTTTATGTAACTTAATATCTTTTTACACATATATTATATTTATATCTCTACTTTAAACTCAATATGTACCCCCCCCCCCCTAAAAATAGTTTTACACGTGTACATGCACACTATTTACCTGCAGATGGAGCCGCATACTTGTACTACGTCGCATTTATACATTGAGGTCATGATTCCGCCATTCACGGAAAGTTTTTAACGGTGTTATTTGATTTCGCCGTGGTTATTTATATTTGCTGTTGGCATCAAAGATAAATAGAGAAAGGGCATTTTAGCAAATTACAAGATTTTCTTGATACAACTTCATGTAGATCTACTAATTAATTTTCGTACTTGTACATGTATATCTGGTTTCAAGTTCACAGACTACACTTATAAATAGATCTACATTTATTATACAAATGAACATGTATTATTCCCCGCGAATCGCGGCAAATGTTCACGGCAAAATCGCCGCGAGTTGAATTCGCGGCGATTGTCTCAAGTTGCCGCGAATTCGCTCGCGTTATAAAGCATGAGAGTTCGCCGCGAATACGCGAATTGTGCGGGTTTCGCGTGTCCAGTACTGTAACTAACTTAATCAACGCTGCTGCTTTTGCGACATAATTTTTGTATGGTTTTCCAGGTAGAGTATTAGTCGGTCCCTTTTTCTTGTTTATAATCCAGCTATTGCTGGAGTTGGTATATCCAGGGGAAAAGATAATTAAATCAACAAGTGAAAACCAATGTCTCCAGCTTCACAGTAATTTCCTAATTTCGTCTCCTAGCCGACAACTAGTAATTGAGTTGTACCTTTCATTCGTAACATTGAATTACAGCAGTTTGTAGTTAGTGTAGCATAATAACACCTTTCATCCAATGATAGTTCAAAGCTATCTTTTGTAAATTGACAAAAATTTCAACAGTCAAAATTCAATTGCCACCTTTCACTTGGGCTTATTTTGTACACACAAACATTATGTACAAATTGGATTGAATTTTCAAATACATGTAATTAACAATTTACTCCCAAACATCAACAAATATTCCTGCATTAACAAAGAAAAGAAATAAATAACCCAACTAAAATGCAGTAAAATATCTCCATGGTTTTTGGCCATTATTTTTCATAAAGCCTTATAAAAAAAAAAAAAAAAAAAATGGCTTACACATGTATACACTGAATTTCATTCTGGATGTATTTTCACTTGATAAACAAAAATAAATTTATTTACATGCAAAGTAACACACCACCAGGCAAATGGAAATCAAATCTGCACAGTTTAAGCAACAGACTTACACAAATTTGAATTGAAACTGACCAAGTAAGAATGAGTATCAAACTGCTTAAATTAAGCTAGCTGCCACAATATAATCACTTTTGTTTTGCAGCAAAAGAAGGGCTTTTATTATTGTCAAATTAGATGTGACCAATTAAAAGTTCCTACATTTCTATTAATATATTTTGATTAATACATAAGAAACTGAGATACATTTTGGTATCCTAAAAATCATTTTGTTTTTAAGTGGTGTTGTAGCCACCATCAATTTTACCACATGGTCCACTGACTAAATCACATAGACCCCAGAAATTTGAGAGTTCCCTCCATTCAGATATTTTCCATGTATATGGACATATTTCTATTGTATAAATAGTGGCAGAGTAGAGACCAAAATAAAAGGCTTTAGTTACTTTCATTTCGACTTACTGAATTTTTGTTAAACATACACTCTGGTCTGACAGAAATATTGGGTTTGTGACAAAACCAGAAGTCTTTTTCTCTGCTCTATAATCTGAATGAAATCTCCATCTATTACTAAGAAATAAATATTCACTACATTATAATTGAGGGATTTTCTTCGTGTGTGATATGAAAAATATATCACTGGATTGGTCAATTATAAGACTTCAGTTCTTTGGAGTAGTGCCATACGTTATTCAAATGCCAAGAACTATGACACTAGCTATAAACACTACTTAATCGTAAGCTAAATGACCAAAGACAAATCAAAACATGTACATTATAAATCCCCCTATGACCTAGAAAGACACAATATTAAAGTGAATTGGTCTATAATGGAAGGTCTATAATACAATGAATAATTACCTTGATAGTATTTAGTATTAGACATAATAACAAACTATGAAAGAATAATGCATGAAAGTTGTTGGTAATTATATCGACATTTTTTTTTCAAGCAGCATTTCATATGAATACCCAACTGATACATTTCTATTTCTATTTTTTATTAAAAGTTGAAATACTAATGGAAAATGAATGCCAGAGCCAATGTCAGCTCTTGCCTATATGTCAACAGTAGTTAAACCAGCCTGTAACAAAAGTGCAGTCAGCTGGGCTCATGTTTATAATTTTAGCTTTCTGTACTGAAACTCCTTCAAATATTAGTGGACATTTCCACATTTCCATAACTAAAACATTTAGCCAAGTGCTTCGTTAACCCTTACAATACTAAATATCTTAAATGGACTTAATAGATGGATATGTAAATATTTCAATCTGGTCAAAACTATTCATCATATTTAGGGTAAATTTCAAAATCATGTTTGAATAGTGAACAGTGCAGACCATGATTTTGGTCTGTTTGATTTTGAATGTTTGTTTGATTGGGTTTTTTATGTCACACTGACACAGTATGGCAACGTACCAGCTTTACTGGTGGAGGAAGACCCCCAGGTGCCCTTCAGTGCATTATTTCAGGCACAAACCTGCACCTGGGTAGAACCTGACCGACTTTCGTAAGCTAGCTGGATAGCTTCCTTACATGAAAGTCTCTTTCGGGATCTGAACCCACTGTGGTGAGGGGCAAGTGGTTTAAAGTAATCCCCCTTAACCACTCATCCACGGACATCCCCTACTTGGTCTGCAATGGTTCTATGGGTAGAATGTGTTGTTACCAACAGGCTAAGGGTGTTAAAACAGTGTTAAATACTTACCCTATTACTACAATGATAAAATCTAGAATGTTCCAGCCATTGCGGAGGTAAGCACCAGAATGAAGTATAAAACCATAGGCTATAATCTTCATACCACACTCCACCGTAAATATCACAAGAAATATATACTCTATGTGCTCCTGAAAATATAAATACATTAAATACATTACACAATGAAAGCTTGCTTGTTTGGTTTAGTTTTAGGGCACACCGACACACAAATTCAAAGCATATGGCACCGAAACACAAATGATGAATTCTGGTTAACATCAGGTGTTGGTTAACATCAGGTGTTACAAACTTAAAGCAACACCAGGGTTCAAAAACATATCACCAGTGAGTGCTGGAGCTAAAAGATGCATGGACTCCAGTAATTCAAACCCGTTTAGTCATCACTACTTTATAATGGTTTAGCAGGGATAAACAGTTGCTGCATTATTCCGGTGCTTCAGGCAAACCCTCAGCCACAAGGGGAATACGTTCCTACCATCATGCTCAAGGTTAAGCTATGCTTAAAGCCTAAGCCTGCAGTTACCTAAAGTAGCGGGCTTCCAACTCTCATTAGCCAATCAGAAAGGAGATCGAGATTCTTAAGGGTATTAGCTGTCAACTAAGTATCACTTGATACATGATTACGTCTCTTCCAATTGCAACTAAATATAACACTACCTGAGTGAACCATGACATTTTCTATGATACCATGTGATCAAAAATATACTGATAGTAAGTTTTATTCATGTTTTATTAACTTATTACAAAGACCACTAAACAACACTCCCACCTTGACCCATGTTGATCCATCTCCCACTCCCCACTACACAAGCTACAATGGCTACAAAAATCACTGCCCTTACATAAATACTTGTGATTTCTCCGATTTCTATACACTGGTGTTTGAACTAAAACCTAATTCAGAGTTAGCGTATTTACGCAATTAATAAGCATTGTTATAGAATAAAAGAGACAATTAAGAGAGTAAAATAAACAGATCAATCTCTCACAACGACAAGCGGAAAAACCCGGACAAACTCGCAGTTTTGTCGGAGAGTTAAAGAGAACGATTTAGAAACATAAAAAAAAATTGATTTACAGATTAAATGTTAAAAGAAAAGATCTGACATAAATTATGAAGCAAATATATAAGCTCGAATGTAGCTGCCTATACTACAAAAGCTGATCCTGTACACAATTGATTTTTGTTGCTATGGGAACGGATACACGTTGTAATTCACCTGGGGTGCTACTGTTTTTCCGTGATCAATTTTCACTCCACTTCTTCAAGAATCAGGCAGTAATTTTGAAATGATGAGGATGTATGGGTAACCACTGGTGTGAGTAGTAAATAAATCCCCCTCTTTATTTGGAATAATTTACCGTAATTGACTGAGAAAAGAAAACCAGAAGAGTTACTGTATGATCACATCTATTAAAACACTTCATATCTGAGTTGCGTTAATTATATATCTTTAACAGATTAAAATAAAGATAGTAATACATTACTAACCAAGGTTTATTATTATTATATATAACAAGACTTGAACAGTAATTAAAGTTAGTCCAATTTTAAAAATGTTTCGAACAAAAACAAAAAAACAATACATAAATCAACGTTGTTCTTTTGGAACAATTAACCAAGTGGTTCACTTAAAATAAAGTTTCTTCTTTCACTTTTACAGATTTGTTGTAGGTAAGACAATAAAGATTGTTTGCATGTTTCACATTTGATTATATTTAATTTAAACATTATCACTCAAAACAATTTCCACTCGCCCTTACAGAAATAGGTAAAAAACTAGGCACTTAAATTTGCATAAAAACTTCAACAATTGTGAACAGTACTGGTTCAGCTGAGAATTGTTTCATGTCATTTTATAAAAGAAAGACATGTTTGAGTTGTATGTAAAATGTTTCTCTTCATGTAATTTTTTTTCTGTTGAAACAGATTTGTTCCTGCTATACAATAAACTGTCAATCTAACTAAAATTATTAAGGCTTGTCTTTTTCATCTATAATCTTTTTTTTCTGTCTAGGAAATGAGACTATTATGATATGAAATTCAGGGCCAAATAACACCATATTAACCCTTAAAGTGCTGGAACCGAAAGTCTTAATTTAAGCCTTTGCCACCAGTATAGCGCCAGGCAGTCTGACCAGGCTCTATACAGAAAACAGTTGGCTGACAAACTTTAAATCCCTAAAACTGCCAGTTTTTTTAATGACATTATGTATTCTTATTGCTTATTCTATATTACAAAGAGTCTGTGTAGCAATAATCAATATTTAAAATTATAAAATTTGAGCATAGTATATCTTTAACAGTGCAGCCATTCAATGGAAATCCAAACATGATTAGCCTTAATTGACACCTTAATTGACACCAGTATAAAGTTTGAGTTAGCCTGAACTGGGACCAATTGCTGTCGGACAATTGCAAGTCCAGTAGCAGTAGGTCAAGGGTTTAAACCATTCATATTCTATTTCTCACCCATCTTAACAACATAACAATCATCTCTATAAATTTTGGGAAAAATGTTTTGAGGGAGAACGAAACAGATCCATCAATTTTTGTTTAAATTGGCAACTTCTCAAACTTGGGATAGGTTTTCTGTATGAAAATGAAGTTATGCATTTCATGAATGAATGGAAGTCTAGGAAATCACTGCAACAGCCGCTTTATGTCTATGGCATTTTAATGAATCTTTTCACAAGAGGAAGGGAATAAAACAGTCCTATATTTGACAAGCATTTATTTTCCTCACAGAACTTTTATCTTAAAACAAGGGTTCTATTAAAATCATGTTGCGAGACTATTTAAGCTTCTAAGACACACTGATTACTGTGCCGCAGAAAATTTGAAATCGGAATTAAGCGAAGAAAAAAAAAAATTGACTAGCAAAGATACCGTATTTACAATGCGAGAGTGATGTTGTTGTTTTTTGTATGGAATCAAGGACTAAGCCAAAATCTTAAAACATTCCCTGAACAAAAACTTGGTTTTTCTACGATAAATAATGATGGAAATTCTGATATAAACTACTGTTTGGGTTACCTTAGGAAAATTGCGTGGGTGACTAAGATTACGTAATTACTTCCAGCGCCTAGAACTTAATTCTATATGATATTCTCTTCATGCATGCTATTGTTAAACAACATACATAATGTGCAACAGCCACCAGTAAATATGATTGAAACTTATGAATTGCCTTTTTACTCCAGGACCAAGAATGATATATGACGTTCGTAAATTTATGGTATACATTACGCTAGGGGACACTGTGATTATATTCAGAGAAAATGCAATAGAAGCCTTTTCAAAGGAAAGTAAGGCAAATATCATAGGAGCATATTTTATAATTGTTAATTATAATTGAAATTGCAGGCAGTTTAAATGATGAAGAAACAAATACCATTCTATCAACTAGCAATAAACCTACAACCAGATCCGACTGGTCTTTTAAGGAGCAGAATTTTTTAATTTTTCACACCATCACTGTAAAGGTAAAATTGCAACTTTCAAAGGAAGACCTGTGTAACTAATGTCCCTCTCTGCATTAATTCATGCATGATATGACACCCGAGATAAGTATCCCCTTATGTTCTGTAGCTTCTTCACATGAAAGAATCAAAACTCCCTTAGTGGGATTCAAACCCACAGCAGTAAGTAGCAAGTGGTTTGAAATCAACTACCCTAACCACTAAGCCAGTCACAGAGGCACCATACATAAAACATCATCACAATCTAGTCACTCATCATCATATAAAGGAACAATTTATCACCAGTCAGAAGTTTTTTCTAAACATATTCACCAGTAGAGCCCTAATACTGTATCTTTAAAACTCATTTTCATCAAACTTCACTCTAAAACTGACATACATATATATGCACCTATTTGTGATGATATGGACGTTTTAAATCAGCTAGCATCAGTCCTAATGTTCCAAATATAGCCCTGTAATAGCTTTATATATCCTTCAGTTTCAGACATTTAAATTTTATGCCCTCTTAGGAGCGATATACTCCATTATTTCTGAATAAATGGTTAAATTTGAAAAAAAAAACCACCTATAGATTACATGAATTTCTCTACCAGATGCTGAGATATTTTCACAAACTGCGATCAAAATACTGTAAAAAAAATTTTGTCTCTCAATCTGGTCATCTTGCGATACTTAAAGACCCAACGTCTTTGCCTGTGTCAAATTTTTGGAAAAACCTTCTAACCAGTACGAATACAAAATGTTTATGCTGGAGTCAACCAGATTTGACAACACTGTATGAACTCAACTACAGGAACAAGTATTCAAACCTAATGAATTGTGCAGTTGAAGCAGACGAAAAAAAAAAATATATGAGGAAAATTCGCAATATAAGGAAGTGACAGCTGTAGTAGTGTGGCACAGATGTTGCTACCAGGTTAATCAATCCACAGTCTGGTAAAAGATCTATCTATTTAAGGTCATGATCTCAGTCTGGCGTATTAATTGGCGTCCGCGCCGAAGCGCGGCGCTCTTATGGAATGAGATCAGATTTTGTGAAAGGGCGACAGCAACTTCTCGAGCCTTTTAGTCGGTCATAATAAAAGCCGAAAATTCCGATCGGTATGAGGGTGCTTGATTATTAAATAAGAATGAAATGTCGCGATATGTTACAATGAATTTTCGCAATGCAAACATTTACAAATGAAATAACCTTTTCCGTCAATAAATCGCGCTCTTCGGGGTTTTTTATTTATCATTTTGTAGTACACAGTCGGTTATCATGTCATGGTATGTTATTGTTGTACATGTATCCTAGAATGATCAGTTGATGACCTAAATATTCCAAAAACCTATTTATAGATATATCTTTTTATCACTCCTATCGGTAAATGCCGGTCTCTCCCGGTCTATTTTGACCAGGATTTACTAGTGACCGGCGAATAGTACCACACGTTATATTGTCCGGTCTCTCCCGGTTTTGGAGTAGATGTTTGATATCGTTACAATTAGAAACAAGATTGCATTTGAGAAAAATGCTATGCCACCGCATGGTTCAAATTTCATAGCTGTACACCAAAGGACAAGAAAGTAGGTCACATCATCAAAATCTAGGTCACCTGATATCAAAGTTCAATTTTACAACTAAAACTGTGCACATGGT